AAACGAGAGTGGCTCACTCGTTTATGACAGAGGGACGGACCATTGTGCTGGGCAGTTCACACTCTCCAGACCTGGTGAGTCTGGGACCAGTCCAGCCCTGCAGGACACATGGGTGGGCACATCCCCGCTCTGGTCTCCCCCATGCTCTTATTTTCCACACCCCTCATGCACACACACGCAAGCAAAGCTGAATGTGCCCCAGAAGGTCACTGGGTGCACTGAAAAGTGAAACAGAAACCACTGGTCTTCGGTTCTTAGAGATTTTTAATCAAGTTTTTACACAAGCTGAAGGATTATTTCTGCTTGCACTCGCCTTCCCATGCATGAAGGACTTGGTAACGCTGGCAAATGAAAGGAGAAAAAGTTAAGGAGAGCTGTTAGGCCACATTTAACTGCTGTATGGTACTGGTAACCCTGGATGGACACGTCATGACTCTTTCACTTGGTTCCATTTTTCTTGGGGGACATCTATGTTCAGTCATGTGTCTTGAATGACTTTCCCCTCCTCTTGAACCCATTCCTTCAGGTTTTGTCCCTACCACAAAGGAACTGGTGAAGCTTAAAAAACTAGAGATATGACACTGAAGAAACTGGTCTTCCAAAAAGTTTTCCTTAGTCATTGTCCTAGAAGTTGTTCTTTTTGCATTTGGTTTACTCAGGAAATGGTTTTCTTTCAGTAAAATTGTTTCTATTTCATAAAGCACAAATGAGGCTTGTTTTGTGCTTCAAACCTGATCCCTCAGAGCTCCATCCCCAGGGAACTCTTGCTAGAAGCCAGAGGCAGCAGTGCAGCTACACCCCATGTATCTTTGGACCCCGAGGGTGCCTGATAAAACAAGAGGAGGTTTTAGATATGGTCCCAAAATGCAGATGTTAATGAAAGCAAGCTAGCCTCTGGCTTGGCATGCACTGTTCTCCTGCAGAGGGGGGACTTTTGATTAAACCACCAAAATATTTCCTAAGAAAGACCAGAAAAACCCCACAGATGCAGTCAGGGCAGAGACTTCCCTATTGGTGTTATGCACCCAGTTGTTTGTTAGTCTCTGGTGCTCTTGAGGATAGTAAAGGTGAAGCTGAGGCAGTTGTAGGCATTTTGGTGGCTCTTCATAGAATCAGCTGGATTGGAAAAGACCTTTAGGATCAAGTCCAACCTTTACTCCAGCACTGCCAAGCCCATCACTAAACCATGTCACGGAGGCCCTCATCTACATGGGTTTTGAACAAAGGAGGCCAGGAAATAGTCCACAGCTCAGACCACTTCAAGCTCTCACACAGGCTGTGCTCTCTGCTGGGGTCTCTGGAGAAGCCTAGAACTCTTCCCCGCTCCCAGACCACTCTCTACCACAGAAGGAGCACTGCTTGGGCTGGTTGCCCTTCATTTTTAACTTGACGCCTTTCCTTCAGAGCCACACAGGAGGCTGTGGCCAGGCAGATCCCACATAAACCATTAATTCTTCTTTCTTTTTCAAGAGACCCCACTGAAGTAATCCGATTTTATTGAGATAAAAATCCTATGCAACTCAGAGCATTGAAGAACTTAAACTGTTTTTTAGTCAGTAATACAGACTTTCATAGCTTTTTGCTCAAAAAGCAAGCCTACCTCCTATAGTGCTTTGGGTAAATGACATTATAAGCTTTATTAAAGAAGGAATTCTGCAATGAAAACGATGGCCACTCTTCACCAGATCCACAAGTGAGATGTGGAGAAATGGCAGAAGTTCCAAGAAGATCTGGACTTGCAAGGCAGAACTTTTCAGACCTGCATGGGGGAGGTTGACATTAGTCACTCTGTTCACACCTTCAACTAGTTATTTCAGGAGAAAAACATAAGAGTGTTTTCCACAGGGGTACTCCAACTGCAAAGTCCCAGCTGCAGGCAAGCAGACCCCCACTGTCCAGTTTTATTTAGCTACCAATCTAGCAGGAACTGTTTTTCCCTCCCCTCCTTGGTGGGGGTTTAGAGTTCAACAAGCAACCCTCTGCTAAGATGATCCCTGCTCTCCACACCAAGCACCAGCTGCATGGATATTCTCCCTTTAGAGGGAGACAGGAGAGCTTTAGAGGGGCAGCAAGAAGTAATCTGGTTGATCTGCATCTTCCCAAGAAGAAGTGTTCAAGGCATTTACAAAACTAATTTGACTCATCATTCCATCTTGGCCTAAAAGCTCATCAATAACATCTTCTGGTACCAGGCGAGGGTATTTCACTGAGGTCTTGCCAAGGCTTCTCTGGGCACAGTCAATAGTTACCCAGTCTCTATCAGGGTACATAACTAGGACATTCCAGGCAGCATTGCAACCATGTCATCTAGGCAAGCTTTAGTTTCCCTTTCAAGGGAGAAACTATTATTTACCAGATCAGTTATGCCCATGTAGTTTGAAGCACCTGGAGCCCTCAGACTGAGGCACAGCAGTGAATAAAACCAAGACTGCTCCTGGTTTGGCAGCAAGGCACCGACTTCTGCTTCATTTATCCCACATTACCAAGCTGACATGCTGCCTGCCGCAGGGGTAACCAGCCTGCCTTCCCTCAAGCCACAGGGATTTCCAAGTATCATAGAATCGCAGAATGGTTTGGGTTGGAAAGGACCTTAAGGTCATCTAGTTCCAACCCCCCTGCCATGGGCAGGGACACCTCATACTAGCTCTGTCCAACCTGGCTTTGAACACTCAACTTCCTCCTCACCAGATGGAGGAAAGCATGGCAGGGTGTGAAGCATCAGAAGACATGCAACAACTGTCCAAGTGATATCTGACACACACCAAAGACACATGGGGAAGTTTTGCTCTAAGAGGGCTCCTTTCTTGTGGGACAAGGACACACTTGTAGGCAAAGCATGGCTGAGATCTGGCCAAAACAGTGGGTAGAAAGGGTATGGGAACAGTCCCGCTCCCAGTCAACAGCAACATGATATATATTGCTGTTTTGGGGGGTGATTGCTTCTGTTCCTCAACTCTGCAAGCTACCCCCTGCAGAAAAGGGTGTGTATTCCCCTTACCAACATGGCACATAGCATCAGTGCAACTCACCACAGATATCCTAGGCACAGCTTAGAAGTCTGCCTCTGCAAGAAAGAAGGGCAGAGCATTAGGCTTTGGGGTACAGCACCCCTTGCCCCTCATCACCACAAGCCCACAGTGCAGGAACCAGAGAGCTGCTGCTTCTTGTTTGTGTGCTTGCTGTCAGGCTGGGCCACCACCACCAGTCCCCACTGCTTTATCCTTCTTTATAGTTGCCAAATGTAAAGGCAAAACTCACTGCATGACCCACGTTTTTCTGGGCAAGTTCACCTAGAAAGAGGTTAGAGTGCTCTGCTAAGAGTTGTACCAAATGCCTAGAGATAATACCAAGGCAAGTCTTCTCCATCTGCTACTAAGGAATTCTTCCCTGGGTATGTGTACATCACCCTTTGAGCAGTCCAGACAAAAACAAGTTAATTTGCCCTCAATAGCACAAGACCTTCAATATCCACCCATTAACAGCACCCTGTTCCCACTGTGGTTATAAATTAACAAGCTCTGGCTCCTGCATGCAAGTAGTGGTAAAGCTCAAAAAGGAAAGCACACCATACCCCACTGGAAAGACTGCGGCTCCTTGAAGGCAGAATGGGCCACTCTGCAAATGTAGACGTCGCCCTTCTGGGGGGTGAAGGGTGCGTATGCCAGGCGCTGGAAGTACCACTTGTCATCGAAGGACAAGTCTGTGTACTTCACATTGTTCATGGGCTCCCCATTCTTGAGGAGAGAGATTTCAATCTTTGGAGGATGGAAACCACTCACAAAGCAGTTGAGGGTGTTTTCCTTTCCCATAGTGACAAGATCACGTGAGTACACCTCCACCTTTGGTGCCTCTGGAGAGGAGAGAAAGGGAATAGTGAGAAGCAGGACTGCAGCAGGCACCACCAAGGAGAATCCCAGACTGGTTTGGGCTGGAAAGGACCTTAAAGCCCATCCAGCTCCAACCCCCTGCCACGGGCAGGGACACCT